TAAATAACGATATGGACCAAGGATGCAAAATATTCTGTGGATGTCCAAAAAACCCCTTCCTATCTAAATCCAGTGACTTTTCTTAAAATTAATGTTTTAATGATAGGGCTTGATCTTGTTGAAGCAAGGTGCAATTTTAGCCTTCGTTAAGTTTGTGTTGCAGAATTGGACGTCCAGTAATTAAAAGGAACTTGGAATATTTTTATGAAAATCAGTGCTGCCCAAAGATGTCTAATAGCTTTAAAAATATGAAGAGAGCCAAGGATATGATCTCTTAGTGTGTTTGTGACTTCTTTGGAGTAGTGGTTTATACCACGTGAAAGCAAAAGCCTAGTTAGTCATCTCTGCTCTAAGTTTCCTGTTACTATCTTCAGTCCTCCTAGGAGTAGCTTTGTGCTCTACCTCCTGTTCCAGTTAAAAAACGAGAGACTCACACAGACAACCCCTCCCCCGCCCCCGTCTTGTGTCATCCAAATAACTTGGATGGGTCCACACTACCTACCACACAGGCAGCGTGAATTTTCCCTCTTCTGCATGACAGAACATTGGACTTCAGGAGTTCAGTGTCAAAGCACGCAATCTCTGAAAAATAGTGTGTTTTCAGTATCTTCTCTCCAAACCTTTCTTTCTAACAGAACCTTCATCTTGGTGTGCTTGCCCCAGCCCAGCACCATTACCTCCACGGCCAGGGATGATGTGTGAGTAGCTGCAGCCACCAAAGCTGCAGCCCCTTGCTTGGATCCTTAAACGTCATCTCACTTTGAGAAATTAATGACTGGCTGGGTTTTTGATTGCTTTATAAAGTGTTCTCATAACCTGTCATCTCTAATGGGTATGTGCAGCCTAACGGTGCTATGTCTCTACCTAAAGCATGCAAGTCATAGATGAAGAAGTTAGATATAAACCCAAGGAAGCTGAGACAGCTGGTACTATTAAAATATCAATCCAATATAACAACACATCTCTACCCAGTAAGAACAAATTAGCAACGTGTATGGGTTTTTTCCTGGGATTGGAAAGGTATTTATTATTTAGACAGGGAGAAACTCTTCCTCCTCCATCCTACAACCATGTAAGCTGCTTTTTCCAGGCTGATGAGACTGTTGCCCTTCCATCTCTCCCACCTTGCAAGTAGCAGCTTCCTTTTGGGCTTTTCCTCGATTTTTTTTTTTTTTTTTTTTTTTTTTTTGGTGTCCTGACACAAATAAGTATCTCACAGCCTTTTTGTGGGCCAGTGGCTTCCTTCCGATGCTGTCGGCCCCAGTTCAAGTTTTTACAGTCCCCTGAACTGTGTTTTTTGGTAGATTGGATGGTCACCTGTCAATGGGTAGACTTCTGAATTCAAATTTATGCATTTGTCTCTACTGCAGCATAGCACTTGGTTTTCTGAGCCAACACATTACAAACTTCATTTGGTTAGTAGCCTCATGCCTTTTTTGTTGGATTTCCAGACTCTACTCACTTACCATCCCAGAAATGATAAGGGAAGAGAAAGTAGGAGCTGATTTCATGCTATTGAACATAATTGATAAAGTCAGGTATTTAAGATGGATCCTTTCTTATCCTCTGTAAATAAGAATGCAGTCTGTTTGACCTTCATGTCGCTTATTTGGGTCCATTACTATGATCTTTGTGTGTACCAGGAGAACATGGAAACCACAATGCAGTTTTCAAATTCTGTTGGAAGTCTGGTGTGTGTCCATTAATGTGAATACTTGGAAACTCTGAGAAGTCCTCCACGTGTCTCTATGGAAGACTCTCTAGTAATCAGTAAAAATCAGCGGAGTTTTGTTTTGTTTTGTTTAAAACACCAGAAACGTGTTTTCCTGGATTAAATATTTGGATTTGAAGGAGTAAAGCATCTTTCAGGTTGTAAGCCTCGGCACTTCCAGACTCTGATCCAGCTTGCCCTGGCCTTACTGCACTGGTAAAATCTGGTAGCAGAGAGGATGTTTTCTTTCCTGTCCATTGTAGAAAGGCAAGTTAGGAAAAAATGAGTAGTAAGCAGTGTGGGACGTAATTGGGTGTGGGTTTTTTCTGACCGTAGGTACCGAATAGCATGCCTTGCTGTGTGGGATGACTGCTAGGTAAAGGCGTGTTGCTGGTGATCTGCTTGTGTGTGTGTGCTGAGCTGTAGAATTTGCTTATTTTCAGTATTAGGAAACATGCAGATTACAGTGTTTCAAATGGCAACTGGTTTAATTTTTCTGGAAGTCGATGTTCCTCTGAATCGGGGAACTATTCTAATTAAAAAAGAACCCTTGTAGTTGGTGCCGTTGAAGCAGTGTTTAATGCTGTGTGGCTGTTGGCAGGAGACTTGATGCATTTTCACATGACCCCCTCTGGAACAAAAGCAGATTGTTTCCCTCTGTTTTTCTGTTACACAGATGAGTTCCTTTTGAAACAATTTCTTTTTCTGCAAATTCTGGAAATTGACACCGGGAGTAGTTCTTCCTTCGCGGTGGCTTTTACAATCTGTTGTCTGATAATGCTGGCACAAGAAGTCACTTTGGGGTAGCAGTCCAAAAAAGCTGAGAGTTCTGCAGAAAGCCTCCTCCTCTTGGGAATGAGTTTTTCTTCCAGTTTTATGGAAAAAGTTGAACACGGAGTTTCATTTCTTGCTGTCTTTGCTATAGTGGAGTTTGTTTCTGTCTTTACGTACCTGCATTTTCAGTGTCCAGCAAACAACAGCATATAGCAAGTCAGTTCTGAATTGAGCTTTTTGGTATATTTTTGTATAACGACCTTTTGTTTTTGAAACAAACTCTCCCATCTGAAGTCTTCCTCTACAAAGAGGTGAGTTGAAGTCAGACGCAGGTGCTGGGCTATTGGATCATGTGTGCTGCGTAACTAAATCAGTCGGTACTGGATCAAAGGAGCGACAGACAAATTGAGTAAGTGGGGATTTCAAGCAAGAGCATTAATTATCTGCTGGGGAGTGCTTTTCCCGGCGATATTTAATAGCTGACAGTTTAAAAAAAAAAATGAGGAAAAAAGAAGAGCTTCCTCTGGATAACTTACTTTCTTCTCCTTGAAAATTATATACTAATTTCTCACAGTCTTCCTAACGTTCATGCTTCTGGTAGCACAGCATGTGCTGCTCGGTTAAATTTCCATATTCCTAGCGCACCAGCGTGCCAGTGCTGTGGCGGTTCATGCAAGCGCTCTCAGCTTCTGTGTCATAGCTGGTGGTGACGTAATCCCCAAAAAGCACCTTCTTGTGAAGTATGTACTTATTTGGGCTGGGCTTCTTCCATAAAACCCAGTGTGAATCAGGACTGCAAAAGACTCCCGGTTATTTTAACCAAGTTCTTTTGTTTATGCCTGGTGACCAGATTCCAGGGAAGCTTCTGCGCCTTTGTGGTCCAAAGCAGTAGAAAGAATTGATGCACGCGGAGGAGAAAGTCCTCTTCTGCGGGTGTCCCTGAGAGCCTTGCGGCAAACAGTGGGTCGAGAACGCAGCCAGAAATCCTTGGCGAGCAGTCAGCCTCCTGCCTGGAGCCCTGTGGCGGACGGGATGAGGGTGGAAGGGTAGAAGACCACGTAATGTAAATGATCGTATCCAAGGCCCTTGTATTCTCTTGGTCCCATGGGCAGCCAAAGCCCCTGCCGGAGGTTGGGCAGTTCCCGGTCCCGCTTTGGACCGGGGAGAGGACGTCATTTGCATCCTGCTTGGCTTTTCTTGCTGGACTCGAAAGAAATAGAGGTGTCAGTCCCAGCTGACTAAAACCAGAGGACCTGCTATTCGTTTTACTTGGGTAAATCAGAAATCCCGTAGAGGCAGAGTTTTCACAGGTGGAGGCGATGTTTCTTTTAGCTAGAACCAAAAAAAAATAGAGGTGAACTTTTTTTGTTTTAGCAGCTATGTGTAAACTTGCATAATTGTTTCAGTTTGCACTGCGGATATGTTGACAGCTTGTGTGTTCCTTGTGATATTTCCCCATAACTGAAAATTGCTGTTAATATTAGTACTTCAGGGGGTGGGGGTGGAAAAATCAAGAAGTGAATACTACCCTATTAAAAATGGGAAAAATTATTTTAGTGAAAGTTCAGTACGATTCTGGATAGAAAAGAGGAAGTTGGAAGTGTTGGGGTTTTTCTGGGGGTTTTAGTCAGTTTTTTTTAATCAAGAAGAAAATTACTTCCTCTTCTCTTGAGAACAGCTTCGTGTACAATTGTCCCTGCTCATGGAAATTGTTGCTGCTTCTTTCCTGCTTGAGCCTTAGGGAGGTACAGTGGCTTGTGTACCACAGTACGTATACCAGGTGCTACCAATAAATACCAGCCGTGTGAGGAGCTGGCAGATGACGTTTGAATCACTCTTCTGTCCTGATGTTGGATGAGTTTTATCTGGTAACATCTTACCAGTAAGCAGCTTCTGGAACTGGAGATGTTCCTGCCCCGAACTGCAGTGTTTTCCTTCCTTGCCCTCTCTGTCATTGGGTGACTGTTGATCTGTTGGTTTTATGGGCTGTTAATCAGAGCTGTAATCAGTCATCTATCTGCAAAAGTGATAGCAGAGCCAGTTTTCACTTTTTTTCCTTTCCCTCCTCCTCCCCAGCTAGCGTTGCCAGCTAATCTAGGCTTTTTGTTAAAAGAGCTTCATAGTATTTATTTGGGAATTTCAGTGTTGCTGGCTTTCTCAAGGTCTAGTCCTTCTCCTCCTTGCAGAAGGATCTTGCAAGATGTCATTCTGTATTAGCACGTAGAAAATACAGAATTAAAAAGAACTTCAGGTTAATCTGAACCCATCATTTCAAGCTTCTTTGTATATAGATCCATGATTAAATACTTCAGTGGGAAATACTGCTTTTACACCAGTAGCTTTCTGAGACTAGAATATGCTTTGTCCACTTTATATATGCTGGTAATGTCCAGTATGTCTGCTGCAATTTTTGCATAGTGTTTTCTTTGTTAACCCTAACAGATGGTACTCAGGCAATTAAACTATTTCTGTGAGCTGAAGAACTAACTTTCTTTTCTTCTTTCCATTTCAGTAGGTTGTAGAATGGAACTTCTGGATAAAACAATCAATAGCTACCTTGACGTTTGGCTTGGACCCAGAGGTAAGATTTGTCAAAAATTAAATACATAAATAAAACTGATATCAAAGTTCAGATACTAGGGCATAAGAAAACAGCTTCTAACATCCTGACATTGACAGATGACAGCTTTCTTTAGTATCTGCAGAGCATCAAAATGTATAATTCTGTAATAAATTAAAAAAGTGTTCAGTGCTTCTGATCTTTTGACTTGAAGAGCTGCTTCATAGCTGAATTTTTCAGCTATGACAATCATAGGTGCTGTTCTTACTATCGTTTAAGCTCATGTTATTAGTCTTAGCGAATGACTTATCTAACTCAGATCTTTGCCAGCTTTTTTTTTTTTTTTAGAATTTAATGATAGCTTTTATTTAAAAAAAATCTTTTTAATTTGCATTTGATGAAATAAAAATACTCTTGCCCTCCTAACTAGAGCTGCTAAGGAATTTTTCACTGAAAAAATCTGTAGTTTTTGGAAAGCATCACTTCTTTGAAGCCATTCTTTTCGAAGAAGCAAAAAGTTTTGGTAGGTTTTTCACTGTGAAAAAGTTTACAGGTGGAGAACAGCAATCGTGGTCAGTGTGAGGAAGGGAAAGGCAGTGGGATCGGGACAGATGGTGGTCTCATGGCTTCCAGCTAGGGCAGGGATGGCCGTGTTCCACCTGGTCCTAACCAGGGGGGAATTAAATGTCAGCATCCTGTACAAAGTGTGCCTAGCAATGCTGCTTAGTGGCATGTGCTTTCGTCCTCTGATTGCATCGATAGTGTCTTTTCTACCTCTTTGTCCCAGTGAAATGCTGATGGTGGTGCCACTTCCTCACAGGACAAAATCTACAGGAGGTGAAACAAGCCTCTGATCCTTCAAAGTGTGTTTTCTGTTTGCTTTCAGTACCTTGGTGCCCTGGTTGCCCTCCTCTTCTTACTAAGCCCGTTTAAATTAATCTGGATGTTCTGATGTAACTTCTTGTATGTGCTGGCATATGATCTATATTTGCTGTGTCTTAAAAATAATGAACCATAAATGTGTCAAATCGAAACAATTCCCTCGCTTTCTTAACTGCTTCCCAACCTACATTTTAAGGCCTCTTTTCTTACATTCAGGATCCGCATAGGAGTCCTTAAAAATTAAGTCAGGGCTGAGAATGCCAGCAGTACTTCAGTTGTTCATTTTTGGTTTGGTAAACTTGATTTTGGTCCTTTGGGCCGGCTTTAGTGAGAGGAGTGAAATACCGTGCTGTTGCTGGGTAAGGGCAGCACATTTGTGGTTCAAAAGGATCATGTGCTTGTCCCAAGTGTTCCCCTGAAATCCTCTCATTCAGGGTGGTTTATGTACTTTTCTTGAGCCGTCGGCATGTTGCGAACTGGACTGGTTGGTCAGACTGGACTGACTGCTCTGTGTTTCGTTGTTCATACAAGGACTCCAAAATTTAATCCTCCTGAGTAGCATATACATAAGTAACTGGGTTAGTATTGATTAGAAAATAATTGTCAGGATCATCCACTGATAACCACAAAGGTATCTGCTTCACTCTTAGCTTTGCTGGCTCTGTGAGGCAGTAAGATGTGTACTACTGTGAAAGGTTGGTTTGAGAGAATATGGGGGGGAGAGTTGATGAAGCTTTTCTTTATAATTTAAGCTCATTTGTGGTCTTCAAGATGGACGACCATTCTGAATGGTAATGAGTAAAGATAATAGCAATAATAATTTAAGAATATTTTTGCCTTAGGAAGAGAATGATTTCTGCTTTCTTTAACAACTGTGTAACTAAAATCTTGTTGTTTGAGAAGGTTGTTTGTAATTAGCAATGTGGCCCTTAATAAAAGGGCTTGGTGCTCTTCCTTTGTCCTTCTCCAGTATTCCGGCGCTAGAAGCATTTTGAGTACAGCTTTTTCTGGATGCGTTGAACTCTTCCCCTTACTATATCTAAGTGTTTGTAATCTAAGTTTTTGTTTGTTTGTTTCAGACCCCAGAGTAAAAGGATGGCTTCTTCTGGAGAACTATACGCCTACCTTTATCTTCTCCGTCTTGTACTTACTAATCGTATGGCTAGGACCAAAGTACATGCGGAATAAGCAACCATTCTCATGCAGGGGTGTGCTAGTGGTCTACAACCTCGGACTTACGCTGCTTTCTCTGTATATGTTTTATGAGGTAGGAGAAAAGGGGTTGGATTGGGGTTATTTTGCAGGATCTGTTTTAGTTACATTGGCTTATGTTGAAAATGATCTCTGAGGACAGTCCTTCTAAACCTGGGGAAACATCTGCCGAAATGTTGCAACCATTCTTCAACATCGCTTCTCAGAGGAGAAAACCGTAGTTGTGATGGTATGAAGCAAACCTTGCCTTACACATCTATGCTGACCTTGGTTAGCAATGTTTCATATGCCCTTCTGTCGCTCAGTGCAAGTGAAGACCTGATCTTTCAGCATGAACCTGGCTACTCCTTCAGTAACTCCTCCTTGCCTGGAAGTCACACTCATCGTGATTGTGCTGGTGGATTGCACACAGTACTTCGTAGCAAAACTATGGCTCGATTTGGAGTGCAAAACGTGTTTTATTTAAATGTGTTTAATCATGCACACACTCTTTGCATCTATTTCTGCAAGCTTGCAATAGCGTCTTTTGTGTCCTCTTAGTTTTGCTGAAATGATTACATCAATGCCGTTGTGATTCATCTGTTTCTTGGAAGTTAAAATCTGAGCGTACAAATTTATTTCAAACTGAATTGTGGACTTCCTGTGGACTTACTTTCTTTCCTAACAAAACAAAGATTTAGGCAGTATAAAGTTTTCCACTTCCCAGAGAGCACTTTAGCAGCTTTTACTCAGAATTTTATGGTTTTTATTAAAGTGAAAATGAAGAACTATGGCAATGTAAATAAGAACATGGTCACATAATAACTGAGTGTGTGGCTTTAATGTACAGAATACTCTGGCTTGCTTTCAGCCAAAAGCGTTTCTCCTTTCTGTAAGAAGAGATTTAATTTTCAACATGCGATTAGAAGCCAGAGCTAAAACTACTAATCTCCTTTTTTTAATTTTTTTTCTCCTTTCTTTTTTTATTGTGGCATTTGCTTAGAAACATATGCAAGCTGTAATTCTCCTTGAAGTTTGCAGTTAATTCTATAGTTTTTTACAAAGTGAGTGTTTAGATAGGAAGTGATTAAAATTAGAGTTATTTCTCTTGCGTAGTGAATTGACTAGTCAAAAATTACTGAGTTGAGTTATTAAGAACTTTGATAATTCTGCAGGGGGAGCAGTGTTGGATTCAGTAGGTACTTGGAACAACTTGTATTCTTGATGCGCTTACATTTCTGACCTCCCTGTCAGGATGTTATAATCCAGAAAAATTTTTGTGTTGATCTGTTTAATTTTTCTAGAAGTGGTATTGCTGTGGACTTCGTGTACATCATCTGCATTATTTTATGCAGATATTATTTATAACTATACCATAATCTGTTCTTTAACCTCAAGTTATGTTATGGAGGGTTTACAAGTGCAGACTTTTTCTTCAGTTGTGTTAAATGTGGATAAAATTATCAGGATAGCCAATCTTTTTTCCTTGAATACTTAGAATAATACACATAGTTTCCAAATTAAAATTACTGTAGTGTTCTGCTATGTTACAAAACCTGCTGATAAATTTAAACAATAGAAAAGATCTGAACTGTTGATCTTAGAAATGCCTTTTTCTTGCTAACAATGAACTGGTTACCAAGAAAGGACTGTTTATTGTATGCTGAAGAAGTCCTCATACTTGTAACCAGCTGAACAGCTTTTATATTCTGAAGGAATGAGACAGCTAAAATGCAGTGAATATTAAGGTTTCTCCTTCCTATGTAGTGAAACACTTTACATCAAAGTGAATATTACTCTTAACGTAACGTTATCTGTTTGAAAGTGTTCACTGGTATTGCTGTAAATATACCTTCTCTTTATAAATGGGAATACACAAAGCTATGGTGTTATTAAGACTATTAAACTCAGGCTAGTGGCAACGAAATGTGTTTGACAGCACTTAGAAGCTACACAGGGGGGCAAACGATGTTCTGCAGCAGGGGACTGATCTCATAAAAATGCTGTTTGACGTTTGCAGGCACAGAGCCGAAGGGCTGGATAGTAGGGGGGGGAGGGAGGAATCAACTTCCTGCACCTGCAGGTACGTTCTCTAGCTGTAATGCCTCCGCAGCTACCTGTGTCAATGCAAAGCAGGCAATACCCTCACTTGGATCACGTCAGTCATGGAAATTCGGCTTTGAAGGGTTAGCCATACATCAGTAGTGCTTTATAGTACATATACTCGCTTGTAAGATAAAATGGTGAAGAGCAGCGTTCAAAAAAGAAATATAACTCTCTGTTCTCTTCCTTGTTGTCACTGTGGGTTTCAGCTGGATTAAACTGAAATATTTCATTCCTAACTTGAGGAAAGTCATAAAACGTCACTGCTTACCAACTTGTTTAGTAGCCTGTCTGAGAATCAGCTGCTTTAATAGCTTGTGTATGATACACCTGAAGCCCTGCTTTGGAATTTTTCCTGAGTTATAGCTGTGCTGGGTCAGGTCATGATTCATAGCATCACAGCTCAGTTTAAATATTATATGACCAAAAGAAGATGTTAAAGTGAGGCATCCTCCCAACTAGAATGACAAAGATGACCTACATGGTTTTCTGACCTTTACATCTGAGTCTCGTGTTCAATAACATGGAGAGAAATTTTTTTGCATTGTAGGATTTGTGTAACTCTAGTTATTGTGTCCTTGCACCATTTGGTCTACTGATGTAATATAATATAACCTTATTTTAAAATCACAAGAAATCTAATACCTCTTATTTGGAATTCCAAAGATAGTAGTTTCTGTCTGAACTCGCGCTAAATTATTTATTTGGGCGTTTAATGAGTGGTACTAGCAGAACAGAGTAGTGGACTGCGCTTGTCCCAGACAATATAAAGACAAGGCAGACCCAGGGGAGCAGAAGAGAGTTGTCCAGGCTGACCTGTCAGTCCCATACTTCAGGAAGAGGGGATGCTCATTGGGACAAATAACAATGGTTTATTCTGTATAAATCTACAGTGCTTGAACTCTGAGGGGAAACACCGCTCCTGTCTCGGGCAGAGGCAGCAAGGGGTGGCCCTCTGCGTGGTGGGGAAGGTATGTAGCAGGGTGGCTGGCGTAGGGGTATAGGGTCTGGGTTGATCCCCCACTGGCTGGCACGGCTCCCGCCGAGGCAGCGCTGCCTCCACCTGTGTCGCAGCTCTGCGCCAGGATCACGAGTCAAGTTGTCTTGCAATGCTGTGAGATGGGCCCGTGCCCCTCTGCTCGAGTCTCGGCTGGGTAATTTGGCAAAGGAGGGAGAGTGCCAGGTACCCGGTTATACAGCACACAGACCTATTTTATTTTGAGGGTATTTGTTAGCAAAACTGGCCAAGTGATTTGGACCACCCGCACTTACATTCATGAAAACTGGCCAGTGATGAAGGCTCACTTTCTTAAGTCATCTCTTTACCGTCTTTTTTCTTCATGTGAAAAATTAATTCCCTACTGACTCTGCCTTGAGAAAAGCCTCAGGTTTTCCTGAGGAGGGAGGCGTTGTATATGCTGTAGGAAAAGCATCCTAAGAGCTGCACCCCGTTTTAGGAAGGAGGGGACTCGGTGAAGAGGTGCCGTGGCACTTGAGCCACGGGTGGCAGCTCACTGCTGGGCTACTCTTTCCTCTCCTGTTTCTTTCTCAATGGGTCCCGAAGCCCTTATCTCTGTCCTGAGGTGACTGTGTTCATGTAAAGATAAAATTTTGTGTATCTGCGAGCATTTGCTTTTTTTGATCAGAGATGTGAATTTCTGTTTCTTTTCACTCTAATCTAGCTCTGTTTTGAAGCTCGTAAACCCATCCCACCTTGACAGTTGGGTCCCTTATCTGCCCCTCTCCAGCGAGTCTCAGGCTTCCGTTTTATCACGAAAAAACAAAATCCTCCCCAGTAGCACCTCTCCTACAACCCAATCAGACGTTTTTTGGTAGCAGAGTTGATAAAGCACATGCCACAGCGTTTCGAAGAATTCAGCAACAAAATGAAAGCAATGTAAAAAAAAAAGAAAATTTCAATGCAGGGGCAAGAAGTACAAGTTGCTTGAGCACAAAAGTGACTTTGAGCTGCAGGATTTTGCCCTGGGATCAAGGGACTTCACGTTGACCTTGAGTATCATTTTAGTTGGCTTGTGAAGGAGCTGTCTCTTTTTATGTCATTTAAAAAGCACGTACTCTGGTGAAAATTATTATAGTCAGCCTTTTCTGGACAGATTCATTTCTCAAGAGAAGATATGCCTGTGGTTGTGCATCAGTGGTGCCATTAGCAAGCCTGGGCTCCTGCCAACCTGAAGATGAAGGACTTCCTAGGGCCAGCAGGCAGGGAAAGGTTGTTTCAAGCCTGGAGTGGCCGAAAATGACCAGCCTGTTGCTGGGAGGGTAAGGGGTGCCGGGCGAGTTGAGACCTGCTGTACAGCAGCCGTAAGGAGGGGTTAGAAACTCTGGCCATCCTGGAAGCAGAGCTCAACAAGCATGAGCAATGACTTAAAAGCACTAACTGGCAATTTGTGACACCTCCGTTTACTGCTTTTCTAGGTGGCACGTAAGCAGGTCCAGCCCCATGTGTAACAGAGCCGTTTGGGAACCATCCGTGGTCAGGTCTCCAAGTGGCCCATTGGTTTTGTTTTCTGCATGTGCTGGAAGTATTGTTGGTGCAAGAAATAGTGGTGTCAGGCAAAAGAGCAGCTGGCTAACTCAGGAAAAGGATTATCTATGTGTTGTATGTTGCACCAAGCACGGTTTGTGGGCAGTGGTAGCAGCTTTTCACCATTTGGTTCCTTCTGGAAAGGGAGGGATTAAATTATTTTTCTAACTCTACTAACTATTTGTGTCACAAAAGATGTTACCGTTTGCTGCAAATGGTGCTTTTCTTCTATCGTTTAAACCACTGTAGCTGTGAGAGTATTACAGCTCCTGGCATATTACTACATGCTCTCCTGGAAACAAGGGAGAACTGGGGTTTAACTGAAGCTACCTATAGCCCCACTGATGCCTCTGCCCTTCAGAGAGGTGGGATTCATCCAGACCCTTTGATTGCATTACACTTTAGGTAGTGAACCTATATCGCTTGCAGGGGAAGCTCTTTGGGTTTCACTATGCTAGCCTTTACTTGGGAGGAGTTTATGGACCACAGCGTTAGTGACGGATGCTATTTGGATTAATTACAATATAAACATTGTGATTATCCCTCTATTCCTAACACTTCCTTGAACTATGAGAACTGTATGAAAACATCTGTAAGCTCTTAATGACACGATCGCAGCACAATGTGGTCTTTCTGTCTGAGGGACTGGCGGGTGCTGGCGAAGCCGGGCAGGATTTCCTTCGGTGCCCTGAGTGTGGTTTGGTGCAAGGCTTGCTCCGGGACGTAGCCGGTCCTTTAGCAGGGTACCGCTTCCAAACCGGTGTGCTTTGCACGGTCGTGCCTGTCTTTTGGCCAGGAGAGGAGTCCTGCCGTGGCTGCATTCCCTTTGCTGCTTGGATAGAGAAATTGCCTGGGTCTGCCATTGATGTGCAGGGCTGCCTTGCTCTCGCTGTGGCGGGGCGCTATTGATTTATCTCTAATATACGAGATAATTCCACATCTGTATGTTATGATATAACTAGGGATGTCTCTTTTATTTTTTTTTTCCAAATCTCCCTAAATAGTGGCAATAATTCTATCTCAGAAGGTCAAAAATAATGACTTAGGCTGACTGGGTATTTTAAAAGCTAATTTAGGGGGAAAATGAGGCATGAAAGGAATAACATTAGGAAAAGGTAAATCATTTAAGTGATAATCTTTATTGTACCTTTTAGAATTAGCTTCCCATTCACAGTTCTGAGCAGCATTTAAATCGTACCGGTTATTGTAGTCCTTTAATCAAGTGATCATTTTAAATGACTTATGGTACAAAGAGTTTTTCACCATGGCTTTGCAAAGGTTTTTTTTTATTCTTCACAAGCATAGATAAAGCCAAAAACCGACAGCTTGCTTGTGCAGGATATTTGTCTCTGCCTTTAAAATGTTTTTTTGGGATACCTAACAATTCCTTTTTTCACTTGAGAATCTTCAAAATTTGTTACTTCTCTCCTCATACTATTCCCAAGAGGAAAAACATCTTTTAAACAACATCCAGTGATCCCTTCTGTTGCGATATTAAAAGGAGGCTTGCTCCTGTCCTTGCATCTGCTCCTTTCTTCCATCCCACCCTCAACCTGCCCCTCCGTCTCCCACCTGTGAAAGGGTGGGACGTGGACATCCAGCTTGCCTCTTGCTTCTCCGCAACTTTCAGCCAGCCCCTCGGTGGCGGGTTCCCCGTCATCCTCTTATGACTAATAGCTGGTCATTACTCTTAAAAGTAATTCCATTGTGTTTGAGGTGTTATTTGTTAAGTCCGGAGGTCAGACAGGCAACGGTGTATCCTGCAGAGGAGGTCAGCTGTACTGGGAAGGATGTAATGTACTTGGGATAAGCGAATTATTTAAAAAGACCTTGAAGAATCACAACGCAGTGAAACTGAAGCTGTTAAGGATAGCCAGCCTGAAGATTGCTCTGTTACACGGTGGAAAAACTTGTAGTCAGATCTCTGTGTACAAAATGTCTTAAAAATGTAACTTTTTCTTTCCAAAAATAATCAGAAGAAAAATATATTTATTTTAGTTTTATCAGTCACTTTCTCCAACAATGACCTCATCAGCCAAGAAGGAAAGACATTTCTTAAGAATCTGTCTGGAATATGACTGTGCTGTGTGAGATGAGTGAGGATAAGAGGCTACCTCTTATTTTTATTTTGGTATACCCCGATTGGAAGAAATTGTTAATTCACCCTCCACTGTGATTCAGTCACTGCTTGGAGCGTCACTTCAGCCTGATGCCACACTTGGGTGCCCGTAAATCCCTTGACACCAGGTGTCTCGGCAGAGCCACTGTCGAGGTTTGCATGTGCCGTGGGGTGCAGTCTTCTCCCCAAATGACGCTTCATTCTTTGATCTTCTCAGCTGGTGACGGGAGTATGGGAAGGAGGATACAATTTCTTCTGTCAGGATACGCACAGCGGAGGAGAAGCTGATATGAAGGTAATGTAATCGAGACTTGGAGCTAATAACATTTCAAATTGTCTACTTGTGTGTAAGTGGAGAGCAGAACAGTATTGATTATGCGGATTTTGTTCAAACTATGTACTTTTTCTTCCTGTTTTTACAACACAACGAGCGATGCATTGTCAAACATAATAGTTAATCTACAGTGTATTGATGGTTAGTCTTTTGGTGGGTGATGATCTGTAAATTTTCAAGTGTTCCCAGGTCAAAAAACAAAGATTGGTCTTCAGACTGTGTCCAGCCACTGTGCGGTGTGACTCGCCTTCTCTTTCTGTAATGTGATGATTTCTTCTGGTCACTGTTCAGACCTCTCCTTTACAGACAGCACTGCAGGACCAACTCTGGTTAAATATTTTCTTGTTTCTCCCAGGACACCCTAGGGGCACAGCAATAGCCTCATAAAACAGTCTTTGTCATCCTGTTTTCAGCTGTAGCTATGGGTTTGTACCTGCATCTCCTACGGAGAGAGCTGAGACTGAAGCATTACAAAAGACCTCAACAGTGTCTTCAATCCAAGTAGTGCAGGACAGAACCTGGATTTTAATTACTTAGATAGCAAAAGGGTTGAAAGCCCCCACAGCGTGCAATGCTTCTAAAACTTGTTTCCTCCTTTCTAGATCATACGTGTCCTCTGGTGGTACTATTTCTCCAAACTCATTGAGTTCATGGATACCTTCTTTTTCATTTTGCGGAAAAATAATCATCAGATCACTGTTCTGCATGTCTACCACCATGCAACGATGCTGAACATTTGGTGGTTTGTTATGAACTGGGTGCCTTGTGGTCACTGTAAGTACTAGGTTATGGTGGGGAACATTCACAACAGGGGCCTCGTTTTGGATTTCTTTTGGTCAAACCAAACATCTCTGGTACTTTCAGCAGCATGATTTGGTCTGTCCCATATTGAGATGCTTTACTGAATTGCAAGTATTGCAGATAGCTGCAGATATTAAGCTGCCTGCAGAGCCTGTGGAAAAGACATGCCGATGTAGTTTGCAAAATTTGCAGAGCAGTGTGATGTTTATCAGCTGCAGTAGTCTAAGTCTGATGCCTGTCAACCTTGTTTTCTTTTTTTTTGCGGTGGTTGCAGACCCTCTAATGAAACTGCTCTTTCCCAAGTCAGGACCAGAAGCTTGTTTTGCTGCAAGATAGTTAATGATGACTCTTGTCCTTGTATCTGTCAAGTTCACTTAAGATGTTACTTTCTTAATTTAATCTCATGATAACAGTAGCCATAACAAATGATTCCAATTAAAATCTTGTCCCCTGAGTACTAATAAACTTGACCGAATACATCTTAAGTGGAAGATTTCCATGTCTCTCTTGTCCAAATCCTGCTAACCTCTGGCTATCTTGCTTTGATTCTTTAATTTCATTGCTGTTAGCTGGCATCTAGTTTCCTAACTGCATTAGCGTGGTTTAGTTGTGGTTCAGATGCGCAGCTTATAGATACTGGCTTTATTGAATGCTTATCCAAGAGAAACCTTTTCAAATCCAGTGGATGTGAACTATGGCAGTGCAGACCGAGAGGCTCAGGGTTGCTCAGGAGTCTGCTTGCTGAGCCAAACAACATAGAAACTCGTATTTGTTTTGTGTTGTCGGCACAACAGTGAGTAATGCTGAACTTATAAAAAGTGTGCATCTGGAACCACATTCTCCTCCAGGGAAGTCAATCCCTGTTTATACAACAGTCAAAAGTGCAGATACTTGGAGTCTCTCTCGTGTTTGTGTGGTCTTGAAAATACTTTTGTGCTATTTCTAGTGATATGTTTTTCTTCTTCCTTTCCAAGTTTTATGTTCTGCTTGGTCATCACAGTACTGTGCAGTTTGGTGTTAAGCTAAAAGTTTCTTTAATGACTAAAGGTGCTGCAAACAAGGACAAATAAAATGGCCAACTTGCAGTTTCTGAAGATATCTGTTGCTTTTGGTTATAAATAGCAAAATAGGTTACTGTGTGGAAGGAACTGAAATCAGCCTAAAATTAGATGGGTGAAGCTATCGATTGTTTGGCATGTTTACATGCCGCGTTTTTATCAGCTTCCTCAGTTCCCTTGAAAGGCTGGAACGTAGATGTGAAAAACAATTAATTGAGGAAACAAAACTAGAAGGCTGGTATAAGCTGCACAGCTGCAAAGCAGCTCAGCCACTCCGTTGGGTGAGCAGAAAAAAATCAGGGCGGGGGGGCAGGGGGGAATCTCTTGCCTTTCTCCTAAGAAAAATCATATTTTAAATAGTAGCATTTTGAACTTGTTATTTTTGTAGGTTCCGTGAAACTGCGTGTTCCTGGTAATACAGTGTACTTTCTTTTTCCTTTGTCCTTTTTTTAGCTTACTTCGGTGCCACGCTGAACAGCTTTATCCACGTCCTCATGTACTCCTACTATGGATTGTCTGCTGTTCCAGCGATGCGTCCTTATCTGTGGTGGAAGAAGTACATCACTCAGGGGCAGCTGGTGAGTGATCAGCTCTTCAGTGCTTCAGCAGACTCTTGTGTCGTTGATGGAGTCCTCTTGCATCTACTGGTTAGAAAATTTTGGCAGGGTATAGAGGAAGGGAGAACGAAGGCTAGTCTCTTCTACATCTTTAAGTGCCTAAACCACCTTAGAAATCCAGCTTCTGCACCTCCATTTGCTCTATTTTCAGGACAGTGGGGAGCTGGGAACTGATGATGTACATGAATCAGTGTGGAGATCAATGTTGTATGGCTAGATGTATTTGGGAGTCACAGCGCTGCGTTTTCTGGGGCTCATTAGCCAGCAAGGAAGGAGAAGCTTTTCTTCCAAGCCTGCTTGAGCTACGATCTTCTTCTCTGTGCTTGGTTGCTCAGGCTGATGTTGAGATGACAGACCAGAAGCCAAGTGCAATGTGGTCCACAGCTAACAAGGCCCTTCATTCTAGTCTTATGGGACAATGGCTTTTCTGTCTCACTTTTGCATGCAGTTGCAAATGGTTTATTAAAAACTGTTCCATATTTCTGGTCTCCTTCTGCACTTAAAACGGCAGATTTTTTTTCTCTTGTAATTCTGTGTTGGACTCCTTGCGTCCATTTGTACTGTTTCCTGTGCGTACAGTGATGAAGCCTGAATGCTGTGTACTGGAAGTGAAAAGAGCAACAAAACTGAGCAATGTGGCGTATGCTATAGTGATACTGCATGAGAATCAGGCTTCAGTGTGTATAATATGTCAGAACACCACAAGCAAACATGCAAGGGTGTTCCGTCTTCCCCACTGTGTAGATGGGGAAACTGAAACACAGAGATAGACTTTTTTGTATCTCCCTCACCCCCATCCCCTTAGCACCCTCTCAGAGCTGTGAATTGGTTTAATAACATTTGCTGGTGATTATTAATAACATTTGCTGCCAGCAATTCAGAGTCATTCTCCAAATCTTTTATTTTTTTAGCACTCTTCCTTTCTGAAGGATGACTAAGTATTCTAGTAGTGGGGATCATTGCTGGGGGGTGGGATGGTAGTGGTTTCCTTTGTGGAGTCTTTTTTCCTTCCAGATTTAGGCTCGGCATCTCATTGCTTCGGTTGCTTCCCTGGCTATTGTCATAGCTGCTTTTCCTTCCCTGCCTGCTCTGCATGCATAGCTGTTAGGGCAGCAAAATAGCAGAGCAGAACACAACAGTCTTTTTCCCTTTTTAAATAAACATTCCCTAATCTGGTAGCCTTCACGTAAGGATGAATTTTGCCTAAGGCTCTCCACAGCTCTTAAGCCCAAACTCTGTTTTTTCTAAAAGATAATTGAAGATAATTAAAGCCTGGTCCTCCTCCCTGCAGCCTTTACCCCAAAAATTCTTACCCTGGAGCCGTATGTCAGGCAGTCCCTGTCTGTGGGAGAGGATCACAGGATCTGTGTGTAAACGCAGTGACCCCAGACCGTTTGCAACTGAAGCAGTGAGATGCAGATCTAATCTGTTAGGATGGTAGAGTCAAACCCCAACAAGCTCTCACTTGGAAGAAGGTGGTCTTTGCTCCTTAGTAGTTTATAAATCAATTCTATGTAAGTTGCCCTAAAATGGAACAGTATGAATCAAATAAAAACACTTCAACAACAGAATACCTCAACCTGAATGTCTGCTAACTCAGGTTTATGCTGTTAGGAAGACAGAGAAGATAAACTTGTCAAACACACAGTATTACATATTTTTCACTTGTTCTGTAAATAACTGATGAGATGTTGGTCACTAATGACTTTTTTCCTCTTTGCATTAATGTGCTCTGTTTCTCTTTTTTCCTCTCTCCCCAGACTCAGTTTGTCCTGACAATCTTCCAGACCAGCTGTGGTGTTGTTTGGCCATGTGCATTTCCTCAGGGGTGGCTGTATTTCCAGATTTCTTATATGATTTCTTTGATTATCCTCTTCACAAATTTCTATATTCAGGTAAAAGTAATACTCACTGACTCTTCATAGCGTTCTGCTGGCTGTATCTCATTGGAAAGCTGTCTACAGAAAGATACGCTTGAAATTTTCTTTTGCTGTCTTCCAGTAACATGCGTACTGTCTTCCAGTAACATGTGTACGAGTACTGTACTTGTTGGTCTGCCCTCCAATTTCGAATCTTCTGATGTTTTGTATCTGTAATTCAGAGTGATTAGTAATTTCAGTAAGCAGACTGGCACAAAAAGGCATTTTACTAATGCAATTTTAACTGCAGATAAGGGAGAGGAAGACCTTTTTTGTAAGAAACAGCTTTCCAGTCTGAGATAAAACAGCAGCCTGTGAACCTGTGAAGCACCCGAAGGGATTGTTCATTACTGCTCTTACAAGGGGAAATGCTTGTTTTGTATCCAGGGAAACTTCTCAAACTCCCAACATACCGAGATCGGGTTTTGGCTCACCTTTACAGGCGTTTTGTTTGTCTTTCCGTATGGAAAATTAGCATTTCGAGTTGTATTTCCACAAAATTGATTTCATGTCTGGACAGATCCAGACTAGGTATGTGTTGTTCTGAGTAGTTAGTTCATAATCAGGCTCTGTGCAGAGATGTACCTGCCTTCAGAAAATCAAACCAACACAGCCTACTGCCTCCAGACAAGCAAACTTACATATTTTAAACGTCTCTTGAAAGATTTGAGCATTTTGGGTCTGGTAAGAGTGATTCATGGGGGGAAACATAGCAGGCTTCCCTATCTGATCTTCCACTACTGCTTAAAATCAGCCCCGTGGTTCATATCACTTGCTGTGTATGAATGTGCTAAGGAAACATGATAGTATATTCCAAATGTTACTTGACTTTCTTCATCAATTTTACTCATATTTTAACTTTTAACTGTTTAACATTCTTTCACGCGCACATGTTTTGGGAAACGTGCTCTTGTCAGGTGACTGAGCCCCTTTGACGAAGACTAATTCATGTACATTTTTTCACTGTCTGTAATTTTTTTTGGTGTCCCGAGCCTCCCTGATCATGTTAGTTTTTGCATCCCATGTTGACCAGTGCAAATTCCTTTTACATTTCTGTCTCTGAACTTCCCTCACTGTTCTTGTTTACCCACTTCTTCTGGCTTTTTTGGAGACAGTCACCTGCAGTGCATCAAACCTCCTTCCTCACTTGTCATTTTGAGTATATTCTTCTGCATAGTCTGCTCATAAAATCGCTTCCCTTGTTTCTAATTTACTGTTAACGTAACACCACCGATGCTACCATCACACTACCAAGCCTTTTTCTTTTCCAGTGAACTAATTCTCGTGCTATAATGAATGAAAGGCATAGTATAGTCTCATGCACAAAAAATAGTAGGGCTTGTTAGACTCTGCCACTGGCACGAGGTCTTCAAAAATGATGGATGCAAGTTTACTTTTGAGTTTCTTGAGTTACTGTGAGGAAGTGGT